AAAGGAGAGAAGAGGGGAGGTATGAATGTGCGAGGGAGGAGAGAGGGAGCCCAGCAGCTCTATGACCCGCTTACCTGAAGGGGCCCCGGATGTCCAGGACCATGACCTGAGGGCGGTGTGAAGAGCAGAGCAGGAGCCCTGCTGTGGAGAGAGGCCCCGCTGGCCTCGCCTCTTCACACCTCCCCAGGTACAACAAGGCATCATCACTCCCACTGTGAGGATGAAGGCTCTGGCCACAAGATCTATGGCATTGGGTTTATAGCCAGGAGCCTCACACACAAGGCTGGCACATCTTATATATTCATCAATTTTCTCTCTGAAGTCAGTAAATAAATACGGTTTTCTTTATGGGTAAGTGAAGAAGTGAAGGTTCCAGGCATTAGAGAGAAAGTCCCCCCTGTGTGAGGAGGCGGTGTGAGCCGCATAGAGGGAATAGGTAACTCAGAGCCTTCAGCTACTTCACCAGGAACCCACAACTTGACAGGGTTTCTCTGTGTAACAGCCTTGGCTGTCCAGGAACTCACTCTGTAGACCAGGGTGGCCTTGAACTCACTGAGATCCATCTGCCTCTGCCTCCCAAGTGCCAGGATTAAGGCGTGCAGTAGGTCCTTATTTTCAAAGAAGTTCAAAATCTGGGTAAGGAGAGGGATGCACACGTGTGCTCCTGCGAGCATTTATTGAGCCACTGAGCATTTATTAAGCCACTGGGGTCTGGAGTATCCCTATGGCAGTAGCTGACATCCATAACCTACCTAATGTAATCGGATACTATGTCCAAAATTACCAGGGTAAGTACAGTATTGAAGCAGTATAATTTGGAAGGTTTCATGTCCCTTTTACCTGAGTGCATTTTGAGGATGGTGTTTTAGCTCATGGAGAGTGAGTGTCCACTGCTTGACCTTTCCAGTGCCCCTGAACTCTCCTCTCTCCCCTTCCCAGCTGACACCAGTAGTGACATCTATCAAGCCCTTCTCTTAAGTACAGCCTTCACAGAAATGTCCTGACAGATGTGGCGGGGATCAGGGTACATTTACCCAGGGAGGAAATGTCATTTTCAGTTTTCACAACAGACGTGTACCTATCTGACTGGACATGGCTTTTATGAGAAGAAACAGTCAACAGTTTACATTTTAGGCTCCGTCCGTCTGTGTGTCTGCCTGTCTGTCTCACTCTCTGTTGTAGGTGTAGACGGTTGTGCAGACTGTGCATGTACAAACCAGCTAGATGAGGATGTCCAGTGTTTCCACTGTTGCTTTCTGTCTCCTTCCCGTAACACAGGGTTGCTCATTGAGCATGGAGCTGGCTGCCTCCATCCCGTCGGGCTTGCAAACTAGGAAATCCCAGATGCGCTCCTGTCTCGTTTCCCCCATCTCCTACCAGCAGGCTGCAGATTCATATAGTTATATCCGATTTTTTTGTCACGTGCTTGCTGGGGATTCGAACTGAAGTCCTCATACTTAGTAGTAACAGTCACTGAACCATCTGCCAGTGCCCGCATTCTTACTCATTCCACTTGAAATAGTGAAACATTTACTGTCGTATCTGAAATTTTGGTATCACACTTGTTCCCCAATTTGTTTAGCTTAGGCAACTGGAATGCTTCTGCAAAACTTACCTTCTGTGGCTGCCAGTTTCAGCCTTCCTCTGTATTTCTTTCCGGCGGTGATGATGGCAGCTAGGAGAATGGTTGCCGGGCTTAGACTTTGCACACAGGGACACGTGCGCGCAGTCCTCTCTTTGCTCAGACTCCACACCCCTTGAAAGCGTGTCCCCCTGCATTTGGCCTTGTATCTGTACACCTCGCCCACAGGGCTAGAACTCAATACATGTTCAATAACTCCCAGTCTTAACAAAAAGGAGTAAATACGTTTTTGCTCATAAGTAAGTACGAAAACGGAGATTCCGGGTACCAGGGAGAAAGTTGGGTCTGTGTGAGTTGCATCTCCCAGGCAGCGCGAACGGCTTGGAGAGGATGGTGAGGAAAAGAATGTGCTAATGGGGGAAAGGAAGCCAACAACACATGGAAGTGATTCTCTCCCAGTTTCCGCCAAAAGCTTGTCTTGTCTGTGGCAATCACAGAGAGATAAATTGTATAGCTGTCAAGGGCCAAGGGGCACATTGGCTGACGCAGAAACAAATTTCAAAGCTGAAGAGCAAAGAATAAATATCCTACTCTAAGAACTGCTCTAAGGAGTGCGTCCTGCAAAATCTGTCAGTGCAGGGCTGGCACAAAGCTTGTGGGAGTTGTTGGGGGAAGTCCTGTGTATATGTCAATAAAGTACTGTTGAGCCTATAGAAAACCTAGATAGGAGGGACTAGGAGTCCAGGAGGATTCTGGGAAGGAGACACACAAGAGAGTTCGAGATGTAACCGCCATTGGGGTAGGAAGCATGGAAACCTCTCCGGTAAGAGACATACTTAGATTAACAATTATGGGGTAATTACTTAATGCAGAGCTAGCCAGTAAGGGACAAACAAGGCCAACAGCTTCATAATGAATATAGCCTCCTGTGTGTTTATTTGGGACTGATGCGGTTCTGGAACCAGGCTGGTGGGAAGGCTCCACTCAAGGAAAGCTTCTCTTAACAAAATGGTGATCAGGAGTGGGATCATGAATTTCCACGCAGCATGACAAAAGCTTTAAAGGAATTTTAGAAACAGAAGAACGGAGAGAAGCACAGAATTTTGGTAGCAGCATTTTCTCAGTTGTGCTCTGTTTTGCTATCAACAAGCCAAGATTCACGTGGCTTGCTTACCGGAGTCTTCCTGACTCGGCATAAAAAGAAAAAAAAAACCCAGCAAGGTTGTTTTAAGACACTCTGCTAACGATTGAAAGGTGTGTACGTACAGCTGGAAGTGGCAGCTTTTGCTGGATGTCAGCATGGACTGAGGCGGTAAGCTGAAGTCACGCTTACGCTCGCCATCTTGAAAAAAAAACGGCAGTTTAAAACAGCGCGGTTTTACAGATAAGACACGTGGCCAGAAAAACATAAAGATTTACAGTAAAGTCAGACTTGGATAAAAAAAACTTCTAAAGGTTTACAGTGTGTTTAAAAATATATGTGAGATTGAGAGAGAAACTGAAACAACAAAGTGGTAAATAAATACAAAAGCCGGCTGTGGTGGCGCACGCCGGTAGGAATTGCCCCAGAGGCAGAGGCAGGCAGGTTTCCGAAGAGAAACCCTGTCTCAGAGAAAAATAAATAAAAGTGAAAGAAATAAAGTAATAATAGATAAATAAATAAGCCACGTAAAGATGGAAAATACACAGAGAGTCTGGATACTGTACACTATTGTGTTTTTCAGTTTTTTGCTTGCTCAGGAAGGAACTGATACTAAAGTACACTTGCTTATAAATGCTGCTAAATTAATACAACTTATATCTTTTGAAAATACCTTGACTTCAAAATTTAAGCATAAGGATATGTTACTCGGAAAAGGAGTTTTTATTTATGTTTCTACAGAAAATGAAAAGCTGAAGATTTCTTCCAGGCTTCTGTGGTTTCACGAACCAAGACCCCCGGAAGCAGTGGACCAGGTGTTCCAACGACTGAGACAGTTAAGATGATGGAGCTTTACAGACCCCGAAAATACGGACTTATACAGGTTTCTGAGTTTTGTCATGATCCCCATGGTATAAACAGCGCCCCCTTCCAGCAGGAAGCAGTTTGGAATGAGCGACGTCCCAATTCCCATCTTGGTTATAAATCTTTGTTTTCATTTAAATGGGATTGTTTATAATTGGCTAGTGATCACAGCCAATCTTTTTTAATGGTAAAAAAGGGGAATTATGGTATGGATATTGTTTTTCATTTATTGAGACAAAATCAAGGTCAATTTTGTGATGCTTATATTTCTCCTCTTGATTAAGTATTGTGCTTATACTGATCTTTTACAACGTAATGCATAATTGAATACAGACTATAGATAGTTACTTATAATAGAATTTCTAGTTACATAAGTTAGGTTTCTAGATATACAGAAATATATTTGAGATGGACAGTCTTCAAACCTCTCAAAGACCTTCAGAACATGGCATTTAAAATGGTTTAGGGTTTGTCTTGACAATGAGAAATGTCTGCTCCTGGCAGCACCAATTAACGTCTGAGAGGAAGATGGGCATCGAAGAAACTCGTTATAAAGTTTGCTTTCAACATGGCAAGATTAGCCATTTGGGCAAGAAACTGCTCTTGCCTAGACTGTTTGACTATTGTTGTATAATCTGGACATGCAGGACCCATAGGGATGTGACTGCTGAACTAAGTCTTACAGTGTTCCTGCTGCATGAAAGAGTCTACGGGACTTTCTGCAGGACAAAGAAAAATGACTGACAGACTGCCAACGCAGATGGACAGCGTGAAATTTCCTGCTTTGCTGAGAAGTTTTCCAGACACATTGTGGCCTATGGGCTGAAGATGGATGCCCCAACGTTACAGAGGAACTTCGGGTGACTGTCCAGGCAGTAAGATATCTCTGTCAATCCTAGTGTTTATATATTATCCTTCTGTGGTCTTTGATGGAGTTGAAGACAGATAGTTATAGTTATAGTTTTCCTTAGTTATGATAAAAGATAAGCTACATATAGGACTTTGGACTCACAAGGATGGGATGGATGATATTTTCTTTAGATCTTGCTAAATGTTAATAGACAAAATATTGTAACTATGTTCTTATTTGATAACTGTTCTGTTATATACAATTTGACTATGTTAAAGTTAAGACCTTTCTTTTTGTTTAAACAGAAAAGAGGAGATGTTGGGGGAAGTCCTGTGTATATGTCAATAAAGTACTGTTGAGCCTATAGAAAACCTAGATAGGAGGGACTAGGAGTCCAGGAGGATTCTGGGAAGGAGACACACAAGAGAGTTCGAGATGTAACCGCCATTGGGGTAGGAAGCATGGAAACCTCTCCGGTAAGAGACATACTTAGATTAACAATTATGGGGTAATTACTTAATGCAGAGCTAGCCAGTAAGGGACAAACAAGGCCAACAGCTTCATAATGAATATAGCCTCCTGTGTGTTTATTTGGGACTGATGCGGTTCTGGAACCAGGCTGGTGGGAAGGCTCCACTCAAGGAAAGCTTCTCTTAACAGGAGTGACCAACCGACGTCAGATTTGATGCAGGGTCCATTCCCAACACTGCTTGGGAGACCAAGAACATGGGACGAGATAGCCCAGGGGCCTCCAGTAAAGCCAAGTACTACTGTTCAAAAAAAAGTAGGAATAAAGTAATTCCTAATGACATTCTGCTATATGTACAGACCAGTGCCTTGCTCAGCCATCATCGGAGATGCTTCCTCCTGCAGCAGGTGGGAACAAATGCAGAGACGCACATGTAAATGAAGGCTTCTCATCCTGCCTGCCAGTTCCCAAATAGCCACTCTAAGGCTTAATATGAATTATAATTGTCTGGCCAATGGCTCAGGCATATTACTGAGTAGCTCTCAAATTTAAATTAACCCATTTCTATTAGTTTATATTTTACCACGAGGCTCGTGGCTTATTACCTCACATTTTGCTTCTCTGGTAGCTACATGGCCTCTATCTAACTCTTGCCTTCTTTCTCTCCGTGTCTTTATTTGGATGTCCTGCCTGGCTCTATTCTGCCTGGCCATTGGCCAAATCAGCTTTATTTATCAGCCAATAAAAGCAATACATATTCATAGCATACTAGAAGGACATGCCACGTTGCCCACAACTAGACATTATACTACAAATGAGAGACCTTGGAACCCACAGCTCTAAATGGGATGTGTCCGCCAAATCCCTCCCCCGCTCAGTGAACCCTGCAGAAGAGGGGTAGAACCAGTGTAAGAGCCAGAGAGGATGGAGGACACCGAGAAAACCAGGCCCTCTAAGTCAACAAGAGCAAAGCACACATGACCTCAGAGTCTGCAGAAGCGTGCACAGGCCCTGCATGGGTCTGCACCAGATCCTGTGCGTGCACATATTACAGCTTCCAGATTGTTGTTTCTATGGGACTCCTGAGCATGCAAACTAGAGGCTCTCTGATTCTTATGCCTTCTCTTGGGCTCTTTCTCTTCTGTTTGTTTGTTTTGTCCAATTTGAATGTGTCGGTTTTTGTTTTATCTTTTTATTTTATTTTCTGATTTTCCCCCTAGAAGCCTGTTTATTTTCTAATGAGAGACAGAAAGGGAGAGGAGGTGGGGGAGGGGAACTGGGAGGAGCTGAAGGAGGGGAAACTGTAATCAGGATATATTATGTGAGGAAAAATAAATCTGTTTTCAATTAAAGGAAAAACACTTAAAATTTTAAAAAATGAAAACCAGAAACCAACAGGACTTAAAAGGAGCTAACTTGTAAGTGGTGTATGATTTTAACTCTAGGACTCTGGAGGCAGGGGCAGGGGCAGAGGCAGGGGCAGGGGCAGGGGCAGGAGGTCCAAGCTCCAGACCAGCTAGTATGCTGTGTTTGAATGTGAACTGTCTCCCATGGGCTTTTGCATTTGAACACTTGGGAAGTTATGGCGCCTTTAGGAGGGGGTGAAGTCTTACAGGTGTGCCTTTAAAAGACAGAAGGCGCAGCACCTTGTGGCAGGAATGGTTCACGTAAACAGAACATCCCTAAGTTATTGACCTAGACGATCTGGGGCCAAGCATGGGGAGGGGGCTGAACTGGCTTGACCACAGTCAGTCTGCCTGGGTTCTCCTCAGCTCATGTCAGGTCTCCTCACACAGTCCAGTTCCCAGGCAACACTGCTCAACCAAGGGAAGAGAGGCTACAAACCAGACCTCTCCTCTGGAGTCCCTGGCCTCCAGCCAGGACAGAGGTGCCCTCAGGACCAAGACCAGGTCCCTACTAAAACTTGTGGTGGTTTAAAAGAAAGGGAGTGACACTATTAGGAGCTGTGGCCTAATTGGAGGAAGTGTGCCACTGTGTGTGTGGGGGATCCTTTGAGGTCTCTTTGTAACAAGATAAATAAATGACCCAGAGACTGATGTTGGGCTTCACACTTCAAGCTAAAGATTAGAAAACCAAAGTAGTGGGGGATCATTAGCTCTTACCACTACCTCAGGCTGAATGAGTTGATACTGCGGCCTCTCCTCGGCATGGCTGGAGAACCCTGAGACTGAATGTCTTCCTGTCCTCAGTGTGGCTGGAGAATGAATCCCTGATATTGCCTACTGAAGACGGGGCTCCTATCTTTTATACCCCTCTAGTGCTGGGATCCCAGGTGCTGAGATCACCTTTGTGTGAGCTGTTTCTCTTTAGGACTGGATCAATCTTGTGTAGATCTGGGTGACCTTGGGCTCACAGAGATCTGTCTCCCTCTTAATCCTGAGTCCTAGGATTAAAAGTGTGTACCACCACTTTCTAGCTCTGGCTTCTGGGATTAAAGGTGTGTATCACTACTGCCTGATCTCTATAGCTTGAGGCTGTCTTTGCTTTCTGAATCTTCAGGCAAGCTTTAATAAATCATAAATAATATATCACCACATCTCTTCACTGAAGCTTCCTCATGTGACAGTCAGTTGACTTCCTGCTGCCTTCTGGTCAAGATATAACTCTCCACTGATCCAGCACCATATCTGCCTGCATGCCGCCATGCTCCCCGTCATGACAATAACGGGCTGAACCTTGAAATTTTAAGTGAGCCACCTCAACTAAATGTTTTCATTAATAAGAGTTGCTGTGGTCATTGTGTCTTTCTGCAGCCATAGAAAACTCTAAACAAAACTGCCTGGCCAGTTTTCACCCTCTGTTGCTGTCATCTCGTTGTTTCCTAAGTTTTATTTTAGTCAGGGGGACGTGGAAACTACCTCAAGTGACATATCATCAAGGCCTCACACTGCAGTCACTTCCTATAGCCCATACATGCATAAGTCGAAATATATCACCTACCAAGCAGAAAATATCCTCAAGCCAGGGTGTCCAATCCTAGCACTCAACAGACTGAGGCAGGAGGATCACCAGGAGTTTGAGGTCAGCCTGTGCTACACAGTGAGACCATGACACATTTTTTTTAAGTTTAAAATGATAACTTCCAAAGTTGGATTTGTTTTCCCCAAAGCCTAAAAGAGATTTATGGTTTGCATATTTTTTTTGACTTATTTGTGAAATCCGGATACTTCTTCCTCCGAGTTCTGAGTTTTGATTTGTGATTATTTCCCCCCTCTGGTAGATAAAAGCCCTACATCCTCTCTTGGCACTCTGCACCCTCAACTTAGTCACCAGAAGAAGCAGATGGCTGCAATCATATGATCAAACTTTTTTCTAATGACTTTTTTAAAGCCAATACATCAGTGCACGAGAGCAGCAGGCAGGCTGGGAGCCTGAAATAATAAGCCCCACAAACCCTTCTGTGTGTGAAGTGAAAACTTTTCTCTCATGTACTCCCTCCGTTCTGAGGTTCCACACAGCGTTGACACTCTTCTTCCCTTGGTCGGGATGATCGGTTACTCTTGACATCACTGTGTGCGATTCCGCAGTAACGCCAACAGCCAGCACTCCGCACTGGCAGATCCACGTACACAGTTACAGATGGGGACTTTGGGACGCTAGCGTAGCCCTCGCCTCCCTGTGTTCCTCTAAAGTCACGGAGCCAGCAAGCTCCTCTCAACACCTTGTTCTCCCCCTCCCCCTCTTAGCTTAATTAAGTCCTTTGTCGCTCTAAATAAAGCTTGGGTTTCACTGAACTCAGCAAAAGGAAAGTGTGTTTGTTAAAGTCCTCCAGTTGCAAACAGCACAAATACAATTAGACAAACTGAAACTCACCAGGGATGTAACTTTGATGCTGTGCAGTCTCCAAGGCCTGGGGACCCTGCGGGCAGAAAGATGTCAGGCTTGAGAAGAGCAGTCTGCAAATGACAAAACCAGAGTTACCTGAGCTGTTAAGGTCAGCACCCAGGCCAAGGCAGCCATAGCCAGCCAGGCTTGTGTCGCCCCCCCCCCATCCTCAATAGACCAATTTACTGACAGGTAATGGTGAAAAGCAGAAAAGGGAGATTTACTCAATGTCACTCAGTGGGATCACATTGGGAGGGAACAAAGAGCTCTGGTGATGCCCTATCCCATTCCATTTTGGGATCCTGACATGAAGTTCAGATCTAATTAGAAGGTAGGAGGGACGTGTAGCTAAGCACCATGGTCAAATGGGTCGCCCATCATTGTCTGGACTACCTGCAAGGTAGTCCGCTATGTCCTCAGAACTGTGTGAAGTATCTTGAGAGAGACAAACTCCCCTTCTGCCTTCAGCCTTTTCCTTCTCCCAGCATGAGACTGTCACATTCAATTGCTAGGCAAAGGGGATGCACAAGGATCTCTTCAGAATGACTCAGTTCCTGTCAGGGGAAGTTCTCACCAGGGGCGTCCTCTGCATACTCCGTCTCTGCAGGAACTGTCTGTCTGTGTCTCAGGCCAGAGGCATCCACTGATGGGGAAGTCCTGTGTATATGTCAATACAGTACTGTTGGCCAATAGGGAAGCAAGATGGGTGGGACTTGGAGTTGAGGAGGATTCTGGGAAAGAGAGACACAGAGAGACACCATGTAGCCACCATAGGGGTAAGAGGTCCGGACCCTTTCTCCAGTAAGAGAAATATTTAAATTAACAATTATGGGTTAAATACTTAAGTCAGAGATAGCCAGTAAGAAACAAGCAAAAGGCCAATAGCTTCATAATTAATATAGTGTCTTCTGTGTTATTTGGGGACTGCAACTGTGGCAGAGCCCAGGTGACTGGTGGGGGTAAAACCAAAGCGGCTGGCAAGGAAAAAACTACACTGTACAATCCACCCCAGAGCAAACTTCCTTCCAGTCTCCATCCCATGTGTCTGGTTTGGATCTGGTATGTGATCTGGTGCAAGTGGCTAAAACCAGAGATGGCATCATGAAGAATAATCATAGTGGCTAGGGGACCATGACCAGGCTGTGAGATGGAAATCATTTCTGGGAAAATGAAAGCCAACGGCTCATGAGACATACCCAAAGCAACCTACCAATGAATGCTATCTTTAAAAACATGACCAGGGAGATGGATGGCTTAATGGAACTTGCTGCCAAACCTGAAGATCTGACTTCATTCTACAGGTCCAAATTGGTGGAAGGAGACTCTCTCTGATGTGTACACACACACACACACACACACACACACACACACACACACACACACGGGGGGGGGGATTTAAGAATGAAAGTGCCCTGGAGCCAGGGAAATGGTTGAGTGGGTAGTGTTTGGCATGAAGACCTAAATTCAGTGCCCAGTGCCCACATAAAAATCCAGGCATGGTGCATGCACTTGTATTCCCAGTGCTGGGGAGGCAGAGCTGGTAGGATCATTGGAGCATGATGACCAGTCAGCCTAGCCTAGGCAGAGAGCCTCAGGTCCTGGTGACAGAAAACAAGATGGACAGCTCTGGAGCTAAAGAATAACACTCAAGGTTGATCTCTGGCCTCCACACACACACACACACACACACACACGTACGCACATGAGCACACATGCACCCCACTCACAGGTGCCTCATACACACACACAGAGAGAGAGAGAGAGAGAGAGAGAGAGAGAGAGAGAGAGAGAGAGAGAGAGAGAGAGAGAGAGAGGGAGAGGGAGAGGGAGAGGGAGAGGGAGAGGGAGAGGGAGAGGGAGAGGGAGAGAGGGAGAGGGAGAGGGAGAGAGGGAGAGGGAGAGGGAGGGAGAGAGAGATTAGTGCCTGCTCTTGGAAGGCTGAGGTAGAAGGACTGCAAATTCAAGGCTAGCCTAGGCTATATAAAAGCCATCTCGGGGTAATAGAAAAGGAAAAGAAGGGAAGGTAGAAGGAGAAAATGAGTATAAAAATATTTAAACACTCGGCAATTCCACAGAAAACAGGAAGCAGCAAGTCTAATAATTAGGGTGAAAAATGAGAATATTACTATAAGAAAACATCGTCCATTACTCTGAAAGGAAGTGGCTGCCGTGTGCAGCTCGCCACAGGAAAAATAATGAGGATTTGGGGGCAGTTCTCTTAAACCTTATTTTTGTAATGCTTGCTATTTGGTTCAAGTACCACGGTTTTCCACAGTGCCAAACAAATCTACATTTTAATAGAAGCTTCTAAATCCATTTAAAACCTAACAGATATTGCTTTATAAAAGTGTGTTGCTAGGTTTTTTCTCCCCTCCACCAAAACTCTGAAAGCGCTAAAGTGTGGTCAGCGCACCTCAGTGTGTCAAGTAATGTAGACAGCATTCATACTCTACAGATTTTCCTTTTACTCCTACTGTTCATTGCTTTCTTTCAACTTTTCCTCCCTAATCAGCTAGGGAAGGGGCTGGGCCCAGTGGCAAAACTCAAACAGTGCATTTTCTAGCTTGGGTTGGGGAATGAGAAAGAAACTAGCTTTGGTATAGACAGAAATTCAGAGGAGACGGAGAAGGAGACTTGGGGGGGGCAGATCAGTGAGGAGAGTGGGGACCATTTGCATGGATCAGCTTAAGACCAGCAGGAGGAGATGCACCCAGATGTGTTCTGATGACCCACAATCCCCCGGGATTTAGAAACAATCCTAAAAGAGATGAAGGCAGACCATTGTGCATTAAGTAAGGTTAAGTTCCTGCCCCTCAGCAGACTGGGGGCTCAAAACAGAATTAGGTTGTATGATGGGAAAATAATGTTGTGTGCTGTGCTCACTTGAAGTTCTGGACTGAGATGTACGCACCCGTTAAACAAAAATGCAGGGGAACGGGGAAACAGAAGGACAAAGTCAGCAGACCTGCTGGAAAGGCATTTGGTACTGCTGAGCACAGGGAGATGCTCCTCAGCCCCACTCTGTCTTTCCCACTTTGCTGAAGCCACCCCACTCTCTGTGTCTCACGGGTACTGGGCACAGGGAATGAAGCACGGGTAGATACAACACGGGTAAAAGGAAGAAGGTTTTGAGGTACAGCACGGTTCAGCTTGATGCTCTGGCCTATTAGCCATGCAGCTCTCCTTCCAGTGCGAGAGAGGCAGAGAGTTGAAGAAAGTCCAGCCCACAGCCCAAGGCAGGGACCCCTAGTGGGTAACCCCCAAACAGTGACTAAGAAAAAAGCATTTATTGTAAACCACAGAGGCTTTGGACTATGTGTTTTACAGGTTAACAATGGGCCATTACATATGAAAAACTTTAGCTCTGGGAAGTACGAGCATTCTGACGATGCCATGAAATCTTACCAGGGCATATGCTCAAAAGCAGTTATGGTGGGCAAGATGCCTCAGTTGGTAAGAGCACTTTCTGGGGAGCCTGACAACCTGAGCTCTATCCTCAGAATCCAAATGGTGGAAAGAGAGAACCGGCTCCCATGAGATGTCATCTGACCTTCTCATATGCACCGTGGCACACACTCACATGCACAGAGTGCAAAATAATTTAGAAACTAAAGACTAGGTATGTCTGGATTCTTCCTCTTCCATTCTGGTGGCAGTAACTCTACCCAGTTTTTCTGTCTTCTTTGGAGAAATGAACCCTACTGCTCTTGGAGACCTGGTTTTCTTTCCAATGGGATGCTTTTATTTATTTGTTTGTTTTTCAAAACAGGGTTTCTCTGTGTAGCTTTGGAGGCTGTCCTGGAACTCACTCTGTAGACCAGGCTGGCCTCGAACTCACAGAGATCCACCTGCCTCTGCCTCCCGAGTGCTGGGATTAAAGGCGTGAGCCACCAACGCCTGGCTCCAATGGGATGCTTTTAGTACTGGGATTGTTGTGGGCCATGTCCCCTCCTTCTTTGTGGAAGAAAGACATTGATGAAAAGAGAGAATGAAGCAAACACACCATCAAAGGACTGGAACAAGGACATAAATTTCTGTAATTGTCCCTTTCTTGCCCCTGCCTGACCCATGCCTGACCTTCCCAGCTGTGTTCATCACCACATTTCCCATTTTGTCTACAAACTTCACCTTGACCCTTGGCACCAAGTTTCTTAAGGAGTGGCCTTGAGTGTCTCCTACTCCAGCATCCCAGGAGAAGCTAACCAAGAAAATTATAGAGCCAGGCCCTCTCAGATTCTGCTAAATGTGGCTGTCTTTTACCTGGAGGCTGTCACTGTCTCCCAGGAAGGTGTGTCCAGGATGGTAGAAGAAGCACGATACATACATGACCCACATGGGCAAAGGACTTTGCGGAGAGGGTCGGTGGCCTTAGCAGCCCACCGGGGCTTCTCACAAACTCCCAGGAGGCACCTGTCTTGTTGATTCTGGTTGCTTTCTTTGATCCTCCACATTGTGGCTTCTCCCTTTGCACAGACAACAGGGAGCACCAACTGGACGCGAAGGCAGAAGTCGGTTTCTGTTTGTAGAGCAATGTGGAATAGGAGAGTTTGGGAGACAACTGGTCTTCAGGGTGTAACTAAGCAAAGACTCGTATTCTAGTCTGCTTCTGTTTGTGATAAACACCATGACCAAAAGCAACTTGGGGAGGAAAGGGTGCGTTTCATCTTACAAGTTACAGTCCATCATTAATGCAAGCCAGGACAGGAGCTCAACACCAGATCCTGGAGGCAGGGACTGAACCAGAAACCATGGAAGGGTGTTGCTTATTGGCTTGCTCCCCATGGCTCATTCCACCTACTTACTTATGCAACCCAGGATCACCTCCCCAGGGGGTAGCACCACCCAACGATAGGCTAGGCCCTCCCAAACCAATCACCAGTCAAGAAAATGTCCCGTAGACTTACCCACAGTCCAGCCTGATGGGGGCAATTGCAAAGGACATCCGTAACATTGATGAGAAACCTTGCAGTTGCATAACGAGGGCAAGACCCAGGGCCCAAAGCGCAAACTCCTATGAAGGACTCCCTTTGAAAGGAAAATGCCTGGAAAACAGCATCTGGGGCACTTGCCTCCAAGCCTAACAACCTAAGTTCAGTGCCTGTTGTTGCCCTTGTGGTGAAGGAGAGAACCGACTCTGCAAACCATCCTTTGCCCTCCACGTGTGCAACAGAGCACACACATAAGTAAATATATAAAGGTATGCATTTTTAAAAAAATATCTGAAAAGAGAGCCCCTTCAGGGTGCTCTGCTCAGCAGGACAGCATAGGAATGTGTTTCCTCAGGTCCAACAGCACAGGCACCTAGCAAGCCTGGTTTCATCTCAAGTTGGCGGAAGAACTTGGCACCATCCATGTGAGGCTGTTTTTACAGACATGCTACTGAGTGGAAATGTTACAGGATCATGAGGTCTGTGCCAAGGGCTGGGAGAAAAGCCTTTGAGGCCAAGTTATGTGTAGTGGAGTCAAATGAGAGGGCTATGTGTGAAGCTGTGATAGATACTGCAGCCAGGTTACCGTGGAGATCCCAGAATGCTGAAGATGCCAGGAGCACGAGACATCTGCCAGAAAAAGCTACAGATCCACAGGAGTCAGCCCAAGAGAGGGGCCGTGTGTGCTGCGGTGATAGGAATACTGGGGTGACTACCCCAAGCACACTGGCGTTCTCGGCATGTCACCATGTGCCCTGGGTGCCTCACTTGGAGCTGCAGGGTTTGAT